AAAAATAAATAAATCTTTAAAATATTACTGAAACCATTAATCCAAATAATGTTTTTCCATTATTCTTTTTTAAATACATTTCTCTAGTTACGGCTGAAACTACAATATCTATTATTTCAATCATCAATAAAGCTGCTGATAATACTCCTAAATTGATAATATTGTCGACAGTTCACCGTCATTTCCAAGGGCCCAGTTGAAATAGTCAAATTGATTGTTTTGCGTTATTCAGATAATATATTCATTTTAATATATCATAAGAAGAAAAATAACAATATTGCCATATCAGGAACCAGTTAATTATCTGCATTTTTTTTATTAGAAAAGTGCTTATAACAATAATTGAGTAATACAATGGATGTATATTAAAATTGTTTTTCTATGATTAATAAACTAAATGTTATAAATGTAGTATGTAAGTATGTAGCACTAGTTCCATAAATACGTCCAGTTTATACCCATAATAAACCAGCATTTCTTTCTTTCTCCAGATCATTTAATGGAGGACCTTTTGAGGACCTTTTCCGTCTTCAACCCTTTAGCCACAGATGAACCGATAGAGATGGATGACTATGGTGAAGGTGGTGATTTCCAACTCAATGGCTCTAGAAAAGGTCGGATGCCTAATATCAATTTCTCCAGAAGTCTGAAAATCTCAGAGGAGGCGCTGCTGTTTCTAACGGGCCCCGTGTCCACCATCCTCATCCCGTCCTTCTACACGCTGGTCTGCCTCATCAGCGTTCCCATCAACATCTGTGCGGTGCTGGCCTTCGCCCGGAGGATCCGCCCTAAGAAACCAGCAGCCATCTACATGCTGAACCTGGCCTGTGCTGACCTGCTCTTCGCCGTGCTGCTCCCCTTCAAGATCTCCTACCACTTCGGTGGTAACAACTGGATATTCGGCGGGCTCATGTGCCGTGTGGTCACTGCAGCGTTTTACTGGAACATGTATTGCTCTGTTCTCCTCATAGCTTGCATCAGCGTGGACCGGCTGGTCGCTGTGGTCTATCCCATCCACTCCCTGTCTTGGAGAAGGCCGAGGAATGCAAACTTAGCCTGTGTCTGCATGTGGATACTGTCCCTGGCTGGATCTGTGCCACTCGTCCTCTCCGACCAGACCTATCACCTCGGAGAGTTGGACATCACCACCTGCCATGATGTCCAACACGTCAATGAGCTCATCGGGCACTACAAGATCTACTTCATCACCCTCTGCTGCGTACTCTTCTTCCTGCCTCTGCTCATCACCGTGGTGTCCTATGCTCGGGTGATCTGGGCGCTGAGCAGAGTCCCGCGCGGGGCTCCAGGACGCTCACGCAGAAGATCAAGAGCAGTGGTGATGGCTTTAACCGTGCTGGTGATGTTTGTGCTGTGCTTCACCCCCACAAACTGTCTTCTGTTGGCGCACTACCTGCAGTTTAACGAGGGTGTCGATCAAAGCCAGGAGGCCCCCGATGGCTCCTACGCAGTCTATCTGGTGTTTATGTGTCTCGGGAGTCTCAACTGCCTCCTGGATCCTATGGTCTACTACTTTGGATCATCCCAATGCCAGCGACAACTTTCCAGCGCGCTAAGGTGTCAGAAGATCACAGAGGACAGCAGCAGCAGTCAGTCTTCATCCAATTCATGCAGTTCCAGCTCCAGGACAATTCTCAAATCCAGCCGTGCAGACAGCTCCAAAATAAGCACTCAAAGCACCAAAATTGACTCTTTCCAAGCGAACCTCCAGAGCCAATACAAGAAGCTGCTCATCTGATGGACTCACATTGAGCAGACTTCATTGAAGTGACTTAACTGAATCCTACCTGTTTAAAACAGTATTTGACTATGAAGTCCAAGTATTGGCAAACAAAAAGCACAAGTTAGTCTGTGGGGTTTACTGTATGTGTCCTTATTATAATAAAGGGAAGAACTGAACCTCATGCCAAAAGAAATGACTTAAAGTCTTGGTTCCATAACAACAAATGTGCAATGACATTCTATGTGCCCTTTGAATGAAGTAGCCTCAGAAAAGGAAGGAAGTTCCGACTAGATAAAAACTATTCTGCTGAACAGTTGATACTATGAAGTATATAGCCTTAAAAAAAGGAAGGAAGTTGGAATAAGATAACTCTGCTGAATATTTAATACTATGAAATGTTTTTACTTTTGCACTGTATGTAAGAGCTTATGAGTGTATAAGCAGCAAACATTGTTAGTATATAATGGAAGGAAACAACTATTTTTTTGTCCAGTGAAAAGCTTATTTTCAAGCACGAAAAAGCTTTCTTAATCATGTCTTTCTTTTAAATATAAATATATTTACAACTTTTTGTGTACCACTTTTGGCCTCTGAATGAATATGTTATATCATCATGTGTTTTAAAGATATCCAACAGTAATGGGCATAGTTTATTTCATGCTGCTCTCTGTGGGCCAAACATTTGGGTAGTTTATCATGTAAAGCAGTAATTTCACATCATTGTCATTCTTCTCCAGCAGGCAGCGCTACAACACTGTTAATAAAATGTAACCTGAAGGATAGCCTTTTCACTGTGTATCTGTTTTAGCACAGTCATGTGATAGTGTAAAGGAATACTGACCGAATAAAACTTCTTGAATATTTCAATACAAGCTAAAACACCACTTTTACTGTTGGGATGTTATATTTAGCTATTTTCCATTTTTAAATAAGTACAAGTTTGTATCCTGTGCAGCTGTCTATCTTGACCAGGACACCATTGAAAATGATGATTTAATCTCAATGGGACCTGAGATTAAATTACTGCTTGTTCAATATGAAGGAATTAATTGACAGACTAGTCTAATAAAGAAAGAAACTAGGGGACAGCCAGCAGTTCAAACAAAAGCATTGCAAAACACACGTAGCCTACCCATGTGTGTATTTTTACATGTACCGCAGATTCTGTTCTGCATTCTTCATTATGTTCACATGTAAAGCAGTAACACAGAAGTAGGTCTGAATAAGACATTAATTATCATACTTTAGGAGATGAATAATCTTTGCATTTCAAAGATGATGCCAACATTATTGAGTAAAAGTCAAAATGCTAAATGTAAAAATACTCGTAAAACATGTAGAAATACTGCATTCAAAGCCATACTCAAGTAAAAGATCCAAAGTAAATACAAAAATAATGTCAAAGTACTAATAGCAAAATTCCTGTTTTGCAGAATGTCACATTTCAGACTTGTATAATTACATTACTCAATTATATTGTTTGATATATTTATGTTCTCATCACTTTATTGTTGCGGCTGAAAGAAGGAGCTCATTTAAATTACTTAAATTACTTCACTTTTACTGCTGGCTTACCTGTGGTACACCATATTTTGTGAGTTGATAGCTATGTTGTATATTTATAATCTGATTCTGCAAAGTAACTACAGCTGTCAAGGCTTCTTGATTAACAAGTACAATATTTGAGAAGGAGTTGAAAGTAGCATAACATTGAAATACTTAAGTCTTCAAGGGCTCAAAATTGTACCTGAGTACAGCAGTTTAGTAAATGTAATTAATAAAATGCAACCACTCTCTATTATATAGGCTATAATAGAATATTGTAGTATTGCACATATCTAATCAGGGTCTTGATAGGAGGGCAATAAGCACCACATGTTCATAAATAACACCTAACCAGATGCAATAAATAAAGGTACAATGAGCTGCTTAATATCAAAGTTATTTTAACACCATATTAGATTATTACTATAGTGTGTGGCACATGACCTGATAAACCGACATCATTCTACTTCCGCCCGCCCTATCTCTGTTCCCGTGTCACGATCACGGTACGCTACGTGAAATCACGTGACTGAGTGACATCACACAGGTGTCAAAACAGGTCTATATTAAGAAGGGATGGCAGTAAAGACATCGACATACAGAGCCACACCTGCGGACACTACTCCCTTCTATTTTTTGCAGTCATGGCTGTTAGCACGCAATGTTTTCACCTGTTCCTCCTTTTGTGCTGCCTGCAGACCTGCCTTTCAGAGAAAGGTAAAATCCATCCGTTTATTTCCACCACTGTAGTTTTTATTATCTTCAAACAATTAACTCAGATAAGATTATAGCGACCAGAAAGTGTTTTACTAACCTACATTTGTCGGCAACAGGCCCTGATTGACCTTAGGCTTGGTTAGTCATTCAAAACCATTCTGATATTACTCGATAACAAAAGTATATGCAAAGTAGAACGTTGTTAAACCGGATGACTCGTGCTGGAAACCCAAATTGTAATGTAGAGAATCTGCCAAACAGCTGAAAGAAACTGAGTCTCGTTGTGCAATAAATACATATACTCAAGTGATTTTAAGTTACATTAAACATTGCTTTATACTTCACTTCATTTTGTAACTAGTTTTTATTACGTTACTTTATTATTTTTCTGTCCAGTGAAACTTTGGGATTTCTTAATGTTTATTGCACACTAAAGGATTTAGTGTTCCTTTTTAAAAGTTTTAGAAACACTTCCCAACTTCTTAATTAATCTAAATAAACTTTTTAATAACCATTTTGAGCATCTTCTTGAACTTGAATTATCATCACAAAGCTAAAAACATGGCTGCCTGTCTGGTGTCATTAAAAGCTGGCTTTACAGGGCTAACATGACAGCGAACGAAGCTACAAATATATGAATATTTTACGCAATTTGATACATTGTTTTAAACTACACAACATTATATATAGGAGTTTAAAGTAAGCACAACCTTCAGCATCTACTGCAGTAAAAATGGATCCTATGCAACCTAATAAAACTGGAAGTTGGTCTATTTTTTTTTCTTGTTGTTGCAGAAACTACTTACAAACTTTGAATCAAGTAAAGTTTTAAATGCAGAACCTTTACTTGTAGTGGAGCATTTTCGAAGTGTGCTTTTGGTAGCCTCGTGTCATTTTTAACTAAAGGATTGGAATAATTCTTCCAGTCTAACTGAGTTTACATGTAGTTAAATTCATAGTATGTTCCTTCAGGTATTTGTTAACCGGTTTTACTTCTGCCTTTATCTGTTTTCATATCATATGTGACTCAGATGAAAGAGGCTTCACTGGTACAGAGACCAACGACGGGGTGTTTGTCAGCCCCCAAGCCCGAAAAGTCCTGAGCAGCAACCTCACTACGGTCTTCCTCCCCATCATCTACATCATCGTGTTTGCTATGGGGCTGCCCACCAACGCCTTGGCAATCTGGGTGTTCCTCTTCCGGACCAAGACAAAGCACCCGTCCTCCATCTACATGGCCAACCTGGCTGTGTCTGACCTGCTCTTCATCATCTGGGTCCCCCTAAAGATAGCGTACCACTTCAACAGCAACAACTGGATCTACGGAGAAGGGTTGTGCAAAGTGATGGTGGCCTTCTTCTACGGCAACATGTACTGCTCCATCGCCTTCATCGCCTGTATCAGTGTTCAGCGTTACTGGGCCGTGGTCCACCCGCTGTCCCAGCACCAGAAGGACAACCGTGTAGCCATCGGCATCTCCGTCACCATCTGGTTGTTGGTGTGGCTCATCACCATCCCTCTGTACCTGTACGACCAAGAGGTGCGTGTCGCAAACCTCAATATCTACACCTGCCATGACGTCACCAGGCCCAGTCAGAAGAAAATCGCTGCAGGCTACTTCCTGACAATGGGAACTCTTGGATTTGTCGCTCCCACCATCGTGATCATCATATCCTACGTCCTGATTCTCAGGGCTTTGAGGAACAGCATGGCGGACCCTGCCATCGCCAAGAAGCGCAGGAAGGCTGTGGTGTTGATCATCACGGTGCTGGTGATGTTTTTAGTGTGCTTCACCCCTAGTAACATCATGCTGCTGGTGCACTACATTCTCCTGTTGGGAGAGGTTAACAACAGCCTTTACGGGTTTTACATCACCACGCTGTGCTTGGCGAGTCTCAGCAGCTGCTTCGACCCTTTTATTTATTACTTCATCTCAGAGGACTTCAGGGACCATGTGAAGAACACGTTCCTCTGCAGGAGTGAGAGGACAGTGGAGAGGATGAGGGTCTCCTTCAGTGCCCTCAAATACTCCAAGAAGAACAACACTTACACGTCTAGTTCAGGGAACAATCCGACTCAGAGCACCGAGTGCTAGTGCATTGTTTTTTTAATTCTTCATTATTAACTTTCCTCAGGTATAAACTAACATGGATTTCTTTGGGAAAAAACTTTGGAGTCATCTGTGTCAAAGAAATCCTACAAGCTCTGAGCTGCCTAAGTTACTGCTTCGGTTATTTCTAATTTTGTAAATATATTTAAATGTTTTTATATCTTAGCACTTTCCTGATGTATTAATCTGCAGTTTTAATTGATTTCAATGGGACTTACAACATTAAACTTTGGTTTTTTTTGTAAATGTGTGTGATATTTTAGACCAGGCTGTTAATTGAAATGAATTTGTTGTCTTTGGCAGAGACCTTACATTTTGCATCTTGTATGATACAAGCCTGAAACACGTATTTATCTATATGTGTTTTTAAAGTATCCATTACAAGTTGTTTAACCTTATTGTTAAAGTTTGTCAATAAAAGTTTTTTAAAAGGTTTCTTTCATTAGTACTTTCTGTAGACCCTGAAAAGTCTTGAATGGGTATTTCTGAACTCTTTGAAGGTATTAAAAGTATTATATTCTATTTACAAATATCTTGAAATATATTTCTTTGCCTGCCAGAGTTACATTATAATGTTAGTGACAGCATGTTTTTGTATCCAGTTCCAGTCTGTCAGGCGATGTGAGTACATCTAACTTAAAGGTAGGGTTGTTAGGACAGTGGATGTTTTGCAGGAGGCAGTTTTATCCTTTGTACAATTTGTACTTGGTTACATTTCCTCTGCCTTTATTGTCAGGCAGGCAATTGTAAAGGTTAAGCTACATGTTCCTTTTTTTCAAAACAATGTTTGTATTTATTTAAATACTGTTTATTGTCACAGTCTTCTAAAAGTCTTCTCATATATTGTAGTAAGAGTATAAATCCATTGGAAATTCATAGCTCATGATTTCGTCAGTCACTAGCACAATTTCTCACTCTGCCCAATAATAGAATAGGTTTATTAAATTGTGAAACAAATAATTGGATTTTTAGGTTTTCTAAACTGGAAAAATGTATTTTATCAAGCCCTCAAATGTAGGAGAATGGTGCACAAAGGTTTCTGAGAGGTGAATCATACCTTTTATAAATTGATCCGATTTTAAAATGTTGTGTTGAAATAATTTCTTGTAAACATTTATGCATCTTTGTGTTCAACCCCGGCCTTTACAGAATGGAGCTGTTCAGATTGTTAAAGGAGTTAACTTGCAACAGTTACATGGTTTCTTGTTAGATTCAGTGTAGTTTATAATATATAACAAAGGTTATAGGCAACAGTCACATCAAATGACAATGGTGGTCTGTAAAGAGTCCAAAACAGAGGATATTTAGTGGAACAACATTCATGAATGTGTCCATTATATCTAAAATATCTTCATGAAACACGTTCTTATAATTATTTTATTTTATGATTTTGATGATTACAACTTGATGTGTTGCTTTCCCTCAGAGGGGATACAATCTTTTGGATTTTGGACTTTTGGTCGTATGAATAAAGACAGTTTCAGATCCCATTGTGACAGATATTTTTGAATATTTTGTATGTTTTAATATCATTAACTTAAGAAAAAAATGGTCACATGTCTCAGTTGTAAATAATCAATATCTGCTGTGATTCAAGATTCAAATAACGTAGAATGTTCACAAAATGTACAAATTAATTTAAAAAATGTTCAATTAACAATGCCAAAGCCAATAAAAACATCACTAGAGTCGACTGTACATACCCATTCAAAATAGAGAACACAGAAAAAACTTTTCTAAACCACAGAAGTCAACAGTCTAACGTTAACACTCCCACAAAATACTTGTTTTTTTTACATAGTCTAATATGCAGATGATTGTGCTGCATGTTATATTTATTTCTGTTACTAAAAGATTTAACAGATCTAAACGTTTTTAAACCTTTTTTTTTAATATGGGTGTCAATTCAATGAATGTGTTTGCGGTTTAAAAAAAAAATACGTTTAGGCTATATTAATATGTAGATGGTGTGAGAAAATAAGTAACACAAAAAACCGTTGGAAACTGTTACTTATTCAATGTTTCCATAGTAACCCACTAAGACTGCCAAACTGCCAGAATGAAGCTAAAATATCTAGTGCTAGTGTATTTTATTTGTTTTGTTAAACGTATTAATATCTCATCTTTTATATATATTTATTATTTTTGATCTCCTCCCTGGATGACTTCACAGAAACCCTCATGGGGAAACAGCAGGTAGGCGGGTCAGAGATTACGTACAGCCGCTCTACATAAGGTAGTCTCGGGGTGTGTCTCTCAAGGTTGAAGGTAGTGCGACATTTATGGAGTTGTTAGAGGGCGAATTTATTAAAGAAGAGCAAAGCTGAGAGCGTGTAATCAAACAGACATGGATTTAACTCGGTTACTGTCGCTACTTTTGATTTTCTGCTGCTTTTCGGCCTCATGTACAGCAGGTAAGACCGGAAGTTTCTCTCTTTATTGTGTCGAGGAGCCCACTTTACATACCGGGCTCGCGAGACATTACCAGACTCATCTCTAAATTAAGATACACTTACTGTAGTTATTTTTTTATTATTTTAAACTAAAAGTTTTAAAAACGGTGTTGTAATAATTAGAGGGAATCTTTGGAAATTGTTATTTTTTACTTTGGGTGGTGGTCAGCTCCCAAACAGACAGGAGTGACGGGAAATGTAGGCATTAATATGTATCGTAATTCCCATAATATACCTCTTGATATTAAGGAAAAACTGCATATTTTAACTTTTGAACTCCATTATTATTATTTTTATTATTAACCGCTATTGTGGAGTTGTTCATTTGTCATTTTGTATTTTGTTTATTAATTTATTTATCTATACAGCACTTTTTTTCCCAGTTCATGGTTTCGAAGGGCTTTACAAATATAGCTGTACATTACATTGCTCAAGCTACAGTTGTACTTGTACTGTAGATATTGTAAAGAAAGGTAAAGGCAGTTATAAATACTTATTTTATTAAAGATTCATGCACCAGTTATTTATCTTTGAACCTTTTGCCTAAAAAGTTTCGAAAAAATAACCATAAAACAATTATTTATTTATTTTGGTCAAACAATATTCCTTGACATAGGATATAAAACGACAAAGCATCTTAACTTTTAGGAATATACAAAGTTCAGTATCTTTTGTTTGAAAAATGATTAATCGAATATCATCATTTTGTCCATTTTCTTTTTTGTAGGACAAGGCCGGGGATTCATTGGGTTTAAGGATGCTGTCAACTCAAATCAAGTTGTTGTGGACCATCAAACAATTGACACACTGAAGAGTAATCTCACCACAGTCTTCATCCCTATCCTCTACATCATTGTGTTTGCGGTGGGACTTCCTGCCAATGGCATGGCCATCTGGGTGTTCCTCTTTAGGATGAAGAAGAAGCACCCGTCCTCCATCTACATGGCCAACTTAGCTCTGGCTGACTTGCTCTTTGTCATTTGGGCACCTCTAAAAATCCAATACCATTTTAACGGCAACAACTGGATCTACGGGGAGGCGCTGTGCAAAGTCTTTGTGAGCTTCTTCTATGGGAACATGTACTGCTCCGTGCTTTTCATCACCTGCCTCAGTGTGCAGAGGTACTGGGTGGTGGCTCACCCTCTGTCCCAGCAGAGGAAGAACAACAAAGTGGCGGTCGGTGTTTGCGTGGCCATCTGGGCTTTCATCTGGATCACCAGCACACCTCTGTACCTGTACGACCACACCGCACAACTCAAAGACCCCAACATCACCACCTGCCACGATGTCAACATCATCGAGGACCCTCTCAACCCGTTCCCCTCTGTGCAGCTGCCTTACTACTACTTCATCTTCATGGGATTGGTGGTGTTCCTGGTCCCTTGTATAGTGATCGTAGTGGCGTATGTTCTGCTTCTCCGAGCACTGGGGAACAGCATGGAGGCCAGCACGGCAGCAAAGAACCGCCACAGAGCCGTGGTGCTGATCCTGACCGTGCTGTTTACTTTTCTGGTGTGCTTCATCCCCAGTAACATCATGCTGGTGGTGCACTACTCTCTCCTGAAGGATGGAGTGCTTAATAACGGTTACAGCTTCTACATCTCCACATTATGCCTGGCCAGCCTCAACAGCTGCCTGGACCCATTTATTTACTACTTTGTGTCCGAGGACTTCAGGAACCACGTGAAGAACACTCTCCTGTGCAGGAGCAGCCGGACCGTGGAGAGGATGAGGGTTTCATTCAGCTCCATGAAATACTCCAGGAAGAGCAAGTCGTACATGTCGGAGAGTGGGAACACACAGAGCAGCTCCTGCTAGAGGTACGATGGATGAAGGAAACAATAGAAAGACTAAAGGGATATCAAGGCTGTGTTTATTCACTGAAAACATGGTGCCCCACAGACATGGGACGCAAAAAGGTGTGTGATTAGTGCTGGTTAGTCATAACCACGTTACCTCAACATATCAGATAACCAAAGTTTAACTATAAATGTGAAGATGACTGTGCTGGGACGAGAGCGGAGGACTTTTAAAGATGTCAAATACTTAATTATGAACTGTTGTTTAGTGTTCAAATGTGAAACATGCATGTATATTTTCATTTTTACACATATTAATGGAGAGAAAGCCTGTTAAAGACTGATATTAAGTTCTCTTGGCCGCACGAAATATTTGCCAGGATTTTTGAATGACCAGTTCACTGCACTGAAGACCATTTTAAAGATTATTTTCATTAAGGATTGATTAAGGATTGATCTTGATTAATCAAATAGCGAAACATTTCTATTCCATTTTCTCAAAGTCAAATATGATATCTTTCAATGTCAGTTTAATATCATATAAAACAAAGAAAAGTTGGAAATGTATTTTTAAAACAAAGCAACATCTTTAGTAAAATAACCAATTGACTGGATATGTTCAGAAGAATAGAGCAATAGAGAATATCAAGTTAAGCGTTTCTTATTTAATAGGAATTACTGTTATTAACAGCCAACATGCAGCCAGCATTTTTAATGTATTTTAAGTGTTGATTTAATGTTTGAGTTTGGTGTTATTGTTACATAGTTTCTTAAATAAATAATAAAACAACAGGATGCAGTTTCTGTGAAACTCCTTTAACATTACGTCACCGATTTAAATTCCTGTGTGGAGTGAGTCACTCGTCTTTGTTTCATCACGCAGCCAAGGAGGGATGCAGATGGGACTCATTATCATGGATCCCTCTTTAAGCCTTGTAGACATTTCAGGAATTCATGGAATGTGTTGTTGTGGTCTTTAGTTTAGAAAAGAGTGCAGGCCAGTTCTTTAAAACACATATTTTGTTGTTTACCAAGTTGTATTCACAATGTGTTCTGATGGAAAACCCCCAAAATTGAATGAAGATGGAGGGGTTAGGGATGTTTTAGAGCGGGATGAAACAAGTGAGGATGAACGAAACAGGTTATCCTCCCACAAGTTTCAGTGTCAGCTGTATGTAAATAACAGAAACATCACTCCTATTCAACAGTATTTATTGCCACACTCACAATGCCTATCCTAAACCCAAAGGTTGATTACAACAAAGGTGTTCTTCTTGAAGACACTATGCTGTCAACAAAGGAGTATTGTGAAGCAAAGTAAACACCTCGGGGCTTTTATCTGTAGATAAGAAGTAGGTGAACCGACGCTTCGAGCTCCAGCCCCACCTTTAAGAGTCATCCCCCTCCCCCAGGTATGCAAAGCTTCCTGTTTAATGACTGGTTGTCAGGGCCAGGTCAATGATTGTTGCGTGAGTGTCAGCTTACCATTTGTCAGCACTCTGAGTGGAATACTTTATTTTCACATGTTGAGGACTGAGCCACTCCCTGGCCGTGTTTCATCTATACAGCTACACCATGTGACCAGGACAAATATAAACGTTAAGTAATCGTGTTTGATGGTTTCTGATTAAATGTGGCAATGAAGGATAACTGATTATAAAATATAGCCAGGAGAAGAATCATTCAGATTAATGGATTACATATCTGACAGTTTAATGAAACAAAGAAAGGACAAATACTTATTTAAGAGCTGTTAAAAAAGGTTTTAAACGTCAGTGATTCGTAGAAGTTGGGAAATCATTTATTTTATGGACTCATTATGAAGTATAGAGGGTGTGCTTTTTGCAGCCGGAATGCATGATCATTTTGGATTGAAAGGTAGATTACTTCATGGTGAACATGATGCAAGTACAAAACATACATTACATGTTACTTGTTAGATGCTTTTATCCAAATCGACTTACATACTCAATACCGTGGGCAATCCCCACAGGAGCAATTTGGGGTGAAGTGTCCCAGGGACACAACGACATGCTGACTGCAGTGGGGTTTGAACCTGTGACCATCTGATCCAAACACTAACGCACTAGTCCACTACGCCACATGCCTCCAAAAATAAAAAAAGAATAAAAAATAAAAAAAGGAACTCACCTTGTGATAAACTCGCACGAGAAAAAGCATTTGAGCTCCATACTGTTTCAGAAATAATCCTTGATGTGGTTTAGAACAGGATGGTGTTTTATCACAGCAGGATTTAACTTTATCTCCGGTAGAATTCTGATCAGGCATTAGCTCCGCCTCTTTTTTTTCAAGATAAGGACCCAAAATCCGCGTTTCTCTAACAGGGCTGGAATAGAGGGGTATGAGGGATTTCTAAAATGCATGATCTGTTTGTATTTTGAGCAAAACACATCATATACATGTTTTTTATATATTTGTATCTGAGACTCATAATATATCCCTTAAAATAGCACGATGGGTGCACTTTAAGTAAGTGTTAGGGTATTCTTTCTTTCAAAGGGAGCTCTAACCTCTGTATGAAGTTGATGAATAAGCCCTTGTATGGTGATACATTTCTCACTTTTGAAGATTAAGGCTGCACAATTTGCAAACAATAACTCATTGGGATTACATTTCACTGATGGTCCAATTAAAATAAAGAAGGGACTTCATTAATTTCATAATTTTTCGCATTATTATTGAAAAAAATAATATTTTATAAGAGTATCTCCTCCAAAAATGTCATCTTAAGTCTGTTCAATACAATTATTTCAAAGCTTTTAGGTATACATGTTTAATTTTTAAATAGTTTCCCATGTATTTAAAAATAATATTCACAAGTGGCAGATGTTGAGCCCAGTGGTTTCCTTAAAAAAATTTTTTTTTAATGAACTTGTTTTATAATCATCAAATCAGAATAGATTCAAGTCCTATCTCTACCACGTCATGTTCTCATTTAATCCCAACTATAAATCACTTTGCAGTGTTTTTAGAGACAGCTGAGAGCACTTTCTGCTCATCACCACTGTCTGACAGGTCCTCTCGTCGCCCCAGGCAACCTTTACCTTGGAGACCAGCTCAAGTCATCAGGGATTGGTCGGTTTTTCAAGAACTTTGTGGCATCATGGTGTCATCATCTCCCTCAGGAGAACAACACTGTGGGGCAGGGACAATAGTGTCAGAGCAGGAAGCCACGTTTTACTTGCAACACAATAACACCACACCAGATTATGCTGGTAAATATTTATCAGTTGCTTTTATAAATTCACAACGGCAAACATTTGATCACACAGCAGTTCATTAAAAAGGAAAAGTGTCGCTTTAAAGCTACTTCAAAAGTTACTCTGATTATTTTCACCAGGAGCCAAAAGTAAGGAGTAAAAATGAAACTGATGAGTTTTTCGTTAACTGCATGAAAACTGACTCAAAGCACACAAGTCTAGTTACCTCATATACTGTATGTGTTGCCATACTGTATGAGTGTTTGCCGACAAGCATTCTAGCATTTACAGGCATTTCTTTTTCATGTAATGTATTAATTACATCACATNTTCTGATTTATTCTTTAGAATAGTCTGAAGTTTTTTTCATAGTATGAAATATAAAATTGCAGAACAAATCTCAGATGTTCAAAAAGTCTCTGGTAATCTCTAAACATGTTTAAAACATCAGACAATAATTCAACCCCTTTACAGGTCCTGTCATGCATGTCAAAGCATGGGGATAAGGTTTATTTATTCATACATCAAATCCCAGTGATTCAAATCAGGACACAGACAGGTCTGAATGCATTTTCCTAAAACAAGCAGGGCCTGTTGTGACAGATCCTTGTAAACCAGAAACACGTCAAACCAGTTCTGTCTGCAAGTGTTGTGACTTTGGGTGACTGGAAACAAAGAGAAAAGAG